AACTATGGCACATCTACACAATGAAATACTATGCAGCTGTTAGAAAAAATGAAGTCAAGAATTTTGTCTATAAATGAATGGACACAAAGAGTGTTGTGTTGAGTGAAAACGAGTCAGAAGGAGAGGGGTCTACAACTGTACATCATGGTGTTTCACTAATAAAATTTTTAAAAAAGGAGAGGGACAGTTATAAAAATGATTGTATTCATTTATGGTACATAAAAATAGATACAGTAGAAGACTAATATCCATGGCCAGGGAAAAACAGGGGTCAGGAGGACTGGTCAATGATTGGAACCAACCACAAATGTGTGTGGGGCTGAGGGTAGGTAAGATAGAGAAGAGACCAGGATGAAAATAATAGCTGGGAATGTTTACACTGAAGGCTCAAAGCAGGTAAAGCAATATTCTTGATAAACTTTCAGTATCAATATTGCAAACCACAGTGCCAAAAAGGAGAGAGAAGAAAAGCGCCTTCCATAGAGGCAGGTCGGGAGTGGGGTGTGGGGAGTGATGGGAGGGAACCAGGGGACACTGGTGCTGGGAAATATACACTGGTGGAGGGATGGGTCTTGGAATATTTTATGACTAAAATTCAATCATGAACAGCTTTGTAAGGATCTATCTCACAGTGAGTCAATTAAAAGTTAAAGAAAAAAAAACAAAATAAAATAAAATAAGTAGGGGAGAACAGGAGGGAAACCAGTGACATAGGTGGAAGGTAGTGGACACCAGTGAAGGGATTGGTGTTGAATCATTGTACGCCTGAAACTCCATCACAAGTATCTCTGTAACTTTGTGATTCAAGGTGATTCAATAAAAAAAAAATTCATTTTAAAAAATTTGTTTTAAAAAGCAAACTACAATAAGTAGGGGACCAGAGAGATCGTTCAAAAACTAGAGGACAGGCTTTGCATGTGGAAGGCCTGGGGTCTATCCCTGAGCACCACCACCAGGAAGGACCCCTGAGCACCTAGCCAGGACAAGCCTGTGAGCACCGCTAGGTATAACCCCAGCCCCCCAAAAGTAAAATAAAATAAGTAGGACTTCAGGCAGCAAAGACTTGGGGGCAGGGAAGAAGTATCTGAGCAACGTGGTGGTCAGAGGAGAGAAAGGGAGTGTGGCTGGTGGTCGGTGCAGGTGGTCGTGGGCACCTGTTGGGTAGGATGAGGTGGGAAGTGCGGAAGGGGCCGGGGGACCGGTTTGTGGAAGGGAAGATTCTCAATGGGACCCATGAAAGGCAGATTCTGCAGGAGAGAAACCTGGCAGGCAGGGGGACCTCCTGAAGAGGCACAGGAGAGCCCAGGGCAAATGGGACAAAGGTGTCTGCTGGGGAAGGGCGAGGAGGGAAGAGCACAGCACAGCGGCCCGCCGTGGGCAGAGAAAACAGATGGACAGATTCCCCTGCGATCAGCCAGGACGATCATATGCGACCTTCCCTTGAACCCCGCCAGGAAATCACCAAGAAATCCTTCCTTCCCATAAATCAACAGCGACCACGGTAGCCACCGACAGATTGGGGGCAAACAAAGTGGCCTCACAGCTGTCCCTGCCGGCAGGGGGCTTTTATACCCACCGGCCCCGCCGCTGGAGGAACATAACATCCCCCTCTGGTCTCCTAAATCAGTTTTGTGTTGTGAGCCAACAGAAGATCTCGGGGTGGGGGAGGGCCAGCACCCCCACCCCCTCCAGACCTTCCCTCCGCCACCACCTTTCCTGACTATTTTCTTGAGTGAATCAGTTCCAGCTTGCAGTGGGAGCCCACAGGGAGTGATTGGAAGTGGCAGGGGAAGCAGATTGCTGAGCACAGAAGGTTCTGGTGAAACTTACTTTTTCGGTAGCTTTCTAGTTCCAGGGGCTGCTCGGCCAGTCACTGTGGGATGCAATCAATTTGGGGGGCTCTGCAGGGCCCAACTCACCCCCTCCCTCCCACCCAGACCTCTCCGTTCCCAACTCTTAACGGATGATAACTGGATTTTAGAACCGATAACGACTGCAAGAACTTCCCGCGTCCTATCCCAGACTCGGGAATTTTGCCGACAGTATATTTAAACTCTTCGATTCCCCCGGCCCCGTAAAGGTGCTCTAAATCACAGAGTCACACTCGTGTTTAAAAGCAAGAAAGGGAAGTTTGGGCCTAATAGTATTAGCAGTTGCTGTGTATACGGAACTCACGGGCAAGGCACAAGGGTTAATCTTGGGGTAGCTGCATTTAACCTTCACAGCGACCCTGTGAGAAGGTGCCGTAGTTATGGTCCATTTTACAACTGGAGAAACAGCCACCAGGAGGTTAAGAACTTTCCCGAAGCTGTTGTGCTAACGTGTGAACGTGTGTGCCTAGCTCTGAAGCCTGTGGGAAATGCATTTCAAATCAAAGCTCCTTTGCCTTCCAGAGAGAGGAGTCTCATTTACCTTCCAGAGAGGGGAGTCGGGGAGAGAGGGGCACCCTGATTAAGAGCAGAATACCAGGGGGATCCCAGATATCAAGGGAAATACTAATTCCGTGCAATGTTTTTAAAAATCAAGATAAGTAGGGCTGGAGAGATAGGCTACGGTTAATGCGTTTACCTTGCAAGCATCTGGGTTTGATAACAGGCACCACATAGGGTCCCCCAACCTCCCTACCTTGAGCGGTGGTCCCTGAGTGTAGAGCCAGGAGGAAGCCCTGAGTACATCTGGGTATAAGCCCCCAAACACCTCAACCCCCCAAAAAATAAATCAAGGTAAATTAAAAAAAAAAAACAAGAAAGAGAAGTCTCCTGTGATCAAAATATCAAAAACTGAAATAGAAAATCTAGCAGGGATTGGGGAAAAAAGGTCATTTCCTGTGAACCCAATTCAGGGTTCCTGGAGCAGGTCCTGAGCTTGGCTCCTGGGTCTGGCCTCTGCTCCGGCCCCCTGAAGCCCGCCTTTCCCACCCTCAAGTTCCAGCAGCAAAATCCAGAGACCTGGCCCCAGAGACTTCCCTGCTGGGCAGAGAGTGGGGACTTGGACCAGCGTGATCTAATGAAACTCATCCCAAACCCTCCTGCCGGGGATCAATGCCGGGGCTGCTGCTCATTGGGAACCTTGCTGGCGCTAGGGCGCCTCCTGGCAGCATCCCCTGGCAGAACGGCACCCCACAGAGTGCGGCGAGGACGAGTGCTCAGGTGGGTCGGGCAGCTCTGGAGCATGTCAGCTCACTCCCCAGGGCAGGCTGTGAGCCACTACCCAGCAGGAAGAACGGCATCTGGTTGTGCTGAAAAACGGAAGGATTTTGCTCCCGCCCTTGGCTTGGCTTGGCCCATTTCTCCCCAATGCCCTTGGCTCCTATTTCCCTGGAAAGTGGCAGGATGCAGCCATGGGACATGTGGGCAGAAGCAGGGGCCGGGGGGGGGGGTGCGCTACCGTGGCAGGCGCCAGGGAGGGGAGCGCACTGCCGTGAGGCACCAAGCCAACTTCTGAGCACTCCGTGAAGAGGAGAAGCCAAAAGTCCCATCCTCAGCCACTAGTCTCCGACCAGGGCTAGGAATAGCTCGGGAATGAACAGGCCAGGGCTTAAAGGGCCCTCCCTGGAGCAGCCTGGGGGGCAGTGGTCACTGTCATCCCTTACCAATGCCTTGGGCTTCTCCGAGCAGAGACTGAGAATTGCAAAGTGAGCCCCTCACCTGAAATCAACAGAACTCTGGAATTCAAGGGGCTGGAGCAATAGTACAGCGGGTAAGGCATTTGCCTGGCACACACTCGACCCAGGTTGGCTCCCTGGCATCCCATGAGGTCCCTTGAGCCCGACAAGGAGTGATCCATGAGGCAGAACCAGGAATAAACCCTGAGCACTGCTGGGTGTGACCCAAAAGCAAAAACAACCAAAAAAAAGGAAGTCTGGGGTTCAAGCTCCCTTCCTGGGGGGATTAAGTGGTCTGGGTTTGCCTGGGGTTGAGGGATTTTCTGGGTCATTGAACTTTTGAGGCTAAAACTGGAAGTATTAGGGTCAGTTGAGATGGGCCAGTCACTTTTTTGGAGGGACTCCTTGCTAGCAAACTCCCCGTTTCTCCTTTCCACGTGGGAAGGACAGAGATACGGTAAGACCTGCTGGACCAAACCCACAAATTGGTTGCACCTCAAAGGTCTGATGTTTGCCTGCACCCAGCACCTCCCCCCCGCCCCCCGCCCCAAACGACAGCACAGCCGTGGGACACTCCACAGCAGTCTCCATGGAGGCAGATCCGTTCCTCACACCCGCGCCCCCTCTGCTCCCAAGAGTGAAGCCCAGAGTGCTCTGAGGCTGACTGGCACTTTCGTTCTCTCCTGCCCACGAGTAGCTTCTTAGGAAAGTCTTCTGCAGGTTCAGACAGATCTATCCCAAGGTGATCATTGGGAGGGCGTGTAGCAGGTCAGTGGGGTAGGGGGCATGATGGGCACTGCCTCATACCAGGCAGGGTGGGCACAGAGAACCAGACAACGTGCAGAGTCAGGGGAAACCCAGGTGGGCCCCGTGGGGGAGGTGTCAGACTTCACCTCATCCTCTGCCTCCTCTGCGGCTTTCCCTGCGCGCTAGGTCTTGGGCTGGCTGCTTTCCCTCAAGATCAGTGATTCTTCAGGAGGGCTGGTGGTGGGGGGGGCTTTCCCTGGGCTCACCCAGCCTTAGTTACTCTGAGCCTGGGCCCAGCAGGGAAAACCCGGGGGGCAACCATTGCCATCATTGCCTGCGCTCCCCGCCCTGACCTAAGCCCTCTTCTCTGTCTCCTGGAGAAGAGGGTCCCGGCTCTGCCTGCCTAAGGGGGAGCCCCCTCAAACCTGATTCATTCTTTGGCTGGTGCTACCTTCCCAGGGCCCAGAAGTGTGGGGGACGCGGACATCGCTAGAGAATTCTAGAACTCGGAGAAGAAACCCCCAAAGGGTAACCTGGCCTTTGAGTAGGTTAAATAATATTTGCTCTATACAGCGAGGTTCAGAGAGGGCAAGCAACCCCCCTGAGGTCACACAGGAAAGGAACAGTCCAGTGCTCCTCCGCCACCTACCTGAACTCTCCTTCTTCCTCCTGGTTGCCTTCTTCTCCGTCTCACTGCTAGTGCTCCCAGGGCCCTCGTAGTCCTCACCAGCGGCTCCCATGGCGTCTACCAGGCTGGGGCTGCTGGCCCCCATGTCCCGGGAGCCGCCAGTAGGACCTGGGGGGAGCTTGCGTGGGGCCTCAGAAACGGGGAAGTGCTGCGGGAAGGCTGGGTGCTGCTCAGCAAAGAGGTGCTCCTCCTGGGGTAAGCTGTGTGGGGTGGCCGCGAGGCAGGAGGCCGAGAAGTCAGGGTACGCTGCTGTCGCCGCCGCTGGGAAATCTGGTTTCTGGTGGAAGGAGAAGGGGGTTGGCGGGTAGTGGGGGAGTCCTGAGGTCCCGCCGCCTTCCACGTGGGGGTTGCGGAGGCAGCCCCAGACGGGGGCCGGGGGGTGGGCGCTCCGCATGCAGCTGCTGGCCATGGGATCCATCTGCTGTCCGCCGTGGCCCTGGTCTCGGCAGAGGTTTGAGTCTTAAACTTTTTTTGGATTCAATATTTTTTTAATGCAAAAAAAAAAATTAAATAGGAAGGAAAAATGTTCAATAGAAAATTCACCCCAGACACCAAAACAAAAACCCCAACTAACGCCTGTCCTTAGAGTCAGCACACGTGGGGCCGGTCACACAGCTGCGTGTGCGCACGCCTACGGGGGTGCTCCTGGGTCCTGTCCCCCAACACACTCAGTGGGGGCCCCTGTACGTGTATTTGTCGCCAATGACACTAGACATTGTCACCGTCCCCAGCCCAGAGGCACCCGCTGAGGTCGAGTGCGTCCTGGAGCCCGCAGCAAATGCCCACCCAGAGCCAGGGCTGTGGAGACACTTTTAAATCCTGCGGTGGGGAGAGAGTGACAAATTTCTGAAGTGAAATGTGAGAGAGGAGAGGGAGGGGTTAACCCGCACACACACGCTCCCCTCCAACCAAAACCCGAGCAGGCAACTATTAATCATCAGAAACCTTATATGCACATCTGATGGGATTTGCAGATGGAGACTTTTAAAGAAACATTGTCTGTATTTTTTTTTTAAGGAGCAAGCAGCAACACACACACACACACACACACACACACACACACACACACACTTTAAAGTGCCTCCTGTAACACTATGAAGTTATTTTACTGCACTGTTAACAAAATTCCCCAAGACTCGGATTTGGAAAAAGCCTTAAGTCAGATCCAGAATCCATCAAAGGCCAAATTCCAGGGAGCGACGCGGTGAGTAAGTGTAAGAGACGAGTTTGCTGATTGCATTTGATTTAACGGCCCTTCTGCTGCCTACACAAAAATAGATTAAAAGGGATTTTTTTTTTTTTTTTTTTTTTTTTTTAGTCTCAGTGACCCACCCTGGTCTATAGCAGAAAGGAAGACTCAGTCCAGGAAAAAAAAAAGAATTTCTCTCTGTCCAAAGTGACATCCCACTTTCTGGGGGACTGAGGCAGACAACCCGCTCCTCCTTCCGCCTCGCCCCCAGCCGACACGCGGATTAGCCCAGTCTTCCCCACTGCGCTTTCAAGCCACTTTTCTCCTGGTCAAAGGAGAAAAAGGAGACAGCCTCTTAGATAAGTTCTTGCCGGTTTCCCCAGGCCTCCCCGACCTGCTCTCCCGCCCTTCATTCACCTCTCCCTCTCCTCACCTCCAAGGCCGTGGGGTCTCTGGCTGGTGTGAACAAGGCGTGAGGGGGACACACAGTTCCCCACCAGAGTTCTCACACACCGATGTTCTCGAGAATTCTCCTAGTTGGTGGCAGCCCAGGGACCATTTTAACCATCACTCAGTACAAGTCCCCTGCCCTGTGGTCACGCCGGAGGGCTAATGGCATTTCTTGGCCACATGTCTTCTCCCACTGAATGTGTCCAGAGACCCAGGAAGTGGGACCTTCTTAGCAAAGTTTCTCTGTCTGATCCCGAGAATCCCCGGCTTCCCGGCAGCTGTACACGAGCTTCATGGACTAGGGAGCCTGTTTTCCGCGGGGGTGTCACCAGCGTGCCAGAGGCCAGGAGGGGAGCTGGCTCGTGGCCAGAGCCCGGATTCTTCTCCCCACTCGGTCCAGGATTTCGTCATCGCACACACACTTCTCTTCTCGTCCTCCCAACTCCCGTGCAGGGGCTAAAGTGACATTCGCCAAATGAGCAGAGAGAGACCGTAAATAGCAGAACCCAGAGACACCCCTCCCAGGTGCTCTGCTCAAGGCTGAGGCAGGCCTGAAGCTGGGGCGAGGTGACACTGAGTTCAAACCTTGGCCTTGACCTGCCAGCCAGTGTCCCTGAGCTGAGCGACCTCCTGACCCAACACCCGCCAGGGCTGAATCTGCCCACTGGCTTTAGTGCCACTCAGGGCTCCACACCACCTCCTCCAAGGCAAAAACTTTCTCCTGCCTTTCCAAGAGGGGACACTGAGGCACAGTGGCTATGTGAGCCACTCAGGGTCCTCCTGTGGGAAGTGGAGGAACCAGGATTCAGGCCTGACTTGGGACAGCAGCGGGTTTGGGGACAGAGCTTGGCTGCTCCTATGCAGGGCACCATGTACTCATCGTCCTCAGGGGGTGCGCAGGGAAGATGGGGGTGCTCTGCAGAAACAGCCTTGCGAGGTGCCTCTCGGCCGAAGGGGCTCTGGAGGGGTTCTGTGGGAGATCAGGCCTGTCGGCTCTGCGAGGAAAAACCTTCCCAGGGGCCCAGCAGGCTGTAACCGGATTCCCACTTGGGCCTTCGCATCTGGCCCCAGGACCCCATCCCGCCTGGCCCTTTGCCCCTGGCAGGGGTGGGCCCTGGGTCACGGCGGGGTAGGTGGAGAGGTCAGGGGGGGCAGGGGGTGGGGGCACTCAGCACTGAGGAGCAGGGCACCCCGGCGCCCGCCCAGCTGCTGGTGTCTGTCAGCCTCCCTGTGGGGAGAGGGAAGGGGGCCTGCTGGCCTCTACATCTTCCTGACAGGCCCTCTTCTGAGGCCAGAGAAAACAACCGGAATCCCACCCCTCACGGCGACCCATTTGTTAGAGGGAAGGCGGCACCCCCACCTTTAACCTCCTCAAAGCCAGCGTTTCCCCCTCAAGGCCCACGCACCCCCTGTCAGAAAAGGTTAAAAGTGGTCTCCTGCCCAGGGGACCAGGGCTTCAGGAAGGGAGGGGACCCCGTTTCTGTGTGTGTGTGTGTGTGTGTGTGTGTGTGTGTGTGTATAGAGGATACAGGGCGGAAGAGGAAAAGGTGAGTCAGGAGGAGCGTCCCTGAGGGACACAGGGCTGGGCGGGCACCTTGGCCACCCCGAGCTGTTCCATGGAGCTTTTGGAATTTCCCTCCTGCTGCACAAGCCGATGTGTCCTTGACGCCCTAGTCCTGCTTCCGGGCTTGACCTCATCCCAACCCTCAGGGCTGCAGTTTTAGGGTGTCTGGAGACAAGCGGGAGCCCTTGGGGCTGGCTTAAGGTGGGCCAGTGGAGGCTGCTCCGACGGTTGAGGCAGCTGAGGAGGATTCGTGGACTCACATCTGTGGAAAGAACAGGCAGCTGCTTCTCAGGAAGGATCGTGAGGTCTCCACTTCCTGCCCTCTGCTGGGCCATGGGCCGGGCTGCATCCATGGATGGGGAGTCAGGGCGGTTTAGCCCCTCCCCTCACCCCCCAATTTTCTTCTAGGGCCATAAGCCCAGCGTAAAAACTCTTGTCTTGAGGTGATGGGGAGGGGCAGGGAGGGTGTTCAAATCTGTGCTCTGCTCTGCATAAGCCAAACGCTTACACTCACCTTGTCACCTGAGCCTCGGTTTCCTCAGCCATCAAGTAGGGATCGGGGTTTGCTTCTTTCCCGGCTAGGTCACTGAGAGAATGAATGTGGTGATCTGGGGGAGCACTTTGTCGAAATCCAGAAAATAGGTTTTAGTGGTTCTCTCTGGAGGAGCGGCATGAAAATATTGAGAGTTGTGCTTGAAGGCTCCAGAATGTTCCGTGACAGAGGCATGTGCTCTCAGAGGGGCTGGGTGAAGCCACCCACCTACACTTGCTCCCCTTACAGGGCTCAGGAATTGGAGGGAACACGTGTTATGGGGGAAGCCCTGGCTCTGAGCACAGGGATCACTCTGGCCCCAAGGTGCCCTTTGTCTGGGGTTAGGAGCAGGAGATTGTCCTCTGCCTCCCGGACTGGAAGAGCCCAGCTCAGGGTTTCTCGGGGGCTCAAATAATAGGACCAGGATGAGAGCGATAGTACAGAGTGTGGAGTGCTTGCCTTGTATGGGCTGATCAAGGTTCAATTCCCTGCACTCTGTATGGTCCGTGAGCCCTTCCAGGAGTGGTCCCTGACCTGAGCACGGAGCCAGGAATCAGCCCTGAGCACCACCAGGTATGACTCAAACCAAAATAATTAAATAAGTAAAATAAATGACAGAACCAAGAGGGTAAAGTGGAGTGAACCCCACAATGCAGACCTCTGTTTTTCAGGGTCTCCCAGGGGCCACACTGCTCCCAAGGATCCAAGAGTGCTCTCTCCCTGATGCCCAGAAAGCACCACGTTTGGGGAGATGCTTTCTCAGATGAAGGTTTCCTCCAAGGTGTCAGCTGTTTGAACCTTCTGACTCCCCATTGCTTGTGTGGGTCATGGGCTGAGAAATCCGCCATACAGAGTGGCCTGTGTTGGAACCCTAACTCTGGGCATCCCCAGCCTCAGATTCCTTACCTGACGGTTCTTAGCCAGGAGAGGTTCATAGCCAGGGACACCCTGTGGGTCCTGCCAGGGTTCTGAGCTCGAAAGACTTGGAGGAGCATTAATTTTCAGAGGGGTAACTGTGTGTGTTGGGGCTGGAGGGGGAAGATCCTCAGCAGGGATGGGGCAGGAGGATTTGTCTCAAGAGGGAGGGATAGTGGCTAGACTGAAACTGCAGGAAAAAAAAAGTGGAAATTCAGAGTTTCTTATTCACACACAGCAACAGGACCCTGGCAACCCCTGGCCTTCCCAGCATGCACTGCTTTCAGTCTCTTTTTTCTGCACAAACAGCCCCCACCCCCACTCCCTACCCCAGGACACATTCCTGATGTCCAACAGTCTAGCAAGTCAGTATCTGAGTCTCAGGATTCTCTTCCCTGCTCTCTGCTCTTTCAAGGAGCTTCTTGGAAGTCCTGATGGACAAACACCATTTAGCATCACTAGCCAGCTCTATTCACTTGGCTCCATGTAGCTGCACCATCATTGGCCGACTTCCATCATGGCTCCACCCACCCCCACCCACCCCAGTAGCTGCAACATCATTGGCCAGCTCCCTTCACAGCCCCACCTATCCCATGGAGCTTCAGCATCATTGGCCGACTCCCTTCATGGCTCCACCCACCCCAGTAGCTGCAATATTATTGGCTTGCTCCCTTCCTGGCCCCATGTAGCTGCAACATCATTGGCTGGCTCCTTCACAGCCCCACCCAATCCATGGAGCTGCAACATTATTGGCTGGCTGCCTTCCTG